ACTATGAACTGGTCCAAGGAAAAGGTTTTTCACTGAGAAGCAAATACAGATGCAACAGATGAACATATCTGCCAGAGCTTTGTGTTAGCTGGTTGATAGCTTGATTGTGAAGATGATGTGTAAAGGAATTGCAGAGGCAACAGCTGGCAGAACAAAATACAATGACAATAATTTATTTTAAAATAAATTTAAAAGTTTGCCAAATTAATTTCTTAAATACAGTTTTCTTTTATCAATCCCACCGTATAGCTTACTGAATATTAACAATAATAATTTATTTGGAAAGCATCATGCATTCATTGAATAAGTGATGAATAGTATTGAACCAGCTTCCAAGCTAGTAGATAGCTTCTCCAGTCCTTCTAAGTTCCATAATGAACCCTCCAGCTACAATCAACAAGTGCAATTGAAATGCAGTGGGCCAGATCCTCAGCTGGAGAAAATTGGTGAAGTTCCTCTGTCTTCAGTAGAGCTTGCCAACTTTCTCCTGGACAGAGCAGGATGACTGACTGGGTACAAATGTATGCAGGTGGGGTGGTGTCCTTCTCCCAGACTCTGCACTGCCATTAGATGCATTTTAGGGGGGGGAAGTTGCCTCCCCCTGAAACACCAAACACTTATTGTCAGTGACAGTATACAGAGCTGGAGGGACCTTTTGTGTATTTCAGTATGGCATTTCCCAAGCTCCTGTTTCATTGGTGACATCTGTTCGTATACCATTTTAAGGTATCCCTCTTATTTGCTATTTCCTCCCATTAGTGCCTATGAGACTTGGAGTTAAAAAGCTTAATACATTATAAAGGGAATTATGAAATAGTAATTATAAAATTATAAAACTGATTTGCAAAACCAAAACCAAAACAATTCAGTTCATCTAATGTTTCCAATTTTCAAGTTAATTAAATCCTAAAAACTAAAGAAAAACTTTCTACAAAAGTGAAAAACTGGTTTTAGTTAAAAAAATAAGATCATAAACCATACATCGACCAGCTCTAGCCAAAGATGGTAGAGCAGGACATGGAGCACAGGCAAATCCAATTTTGCATTCATGGTAATGCTCTTGTGAATGTCACCTACTGACTCCCACCTAGCGACAGAAGAGGAGGCGTTGGTCTGGAAGCTTCCCACCATTCTATTTTGGCCTCCTCCGTGTCTCTCATCCTGCCAAGGCACAAATGTGTGAGTCAATGTGTGACAAAGACCCAAAATGAAGAACACAAAACAATGAATCATGCAGGAAAACTAAAATGCTGTGGGAGCAGTTCCTTCAGTGCTTGCTACAGTCTCCATTTTATTTTTATTTATTTGTGATGTAAATAGCTTTTGACAATAAAAAATAAGTTTGCTTGGAGCGGAGGTTGCTTTGGAACTAAAATGAACAAAATGTCCCTCAAAGTGAGAGGTACAAACTCAGCTTTAGGCATCACACTAAGCTCTTCTCCCCATCCATCTCCTTTGAGCTCCCAAAACATGTATGAAACCTTTTGACAGCAAAGAGGGAAAAAAAGCTTAATTGCAACTTATGGCAAAAAAATCTGTGGCAGTCAGTCAGAGCCTCTTTCTACAGGGTAGTAACTTAAATCGCTGTTTTTAAAAGCTACAGCCTTGCCCTGTTAGACTCAATACCTGTCACATGATTTATGTGCTTGCGTCTTATTAACTGCTCTGTTATAGGAGCTGTCCTACTTGCTGCCATCCCATTCTATAGACCCTTTTGTAAAACCTACTTGAAATCATGCTGTTCTGACTGCAGGGTACTGCACCTTCTGACAAAACATCATATAAAGCAAAGAATTACTGTTTCTCAGTAATCCAGCCCATAAATCAACCCTCATATTTCGCTCTGAGGAGGGTTAAAGGATTCCATGAGTGCTCCTTGCATTCATATTCAAAAAACTCAGTGTGTAATGTGGCTTCAGGAAGGAGGGGGAAAAAAATCTCAAGAATAGCTAACTCACTCCAGTGTCTGATTGATTTTATCTGGACCTTCCTTGCTCTAACAATAATTTGGGACTGCCTCAAACTGCCACCTTATCTGATTTGTGGTCTCACCAACTGCTATTTTATCAGGACCCAGCTGTATGAGAAAAACAGGATATGGCATGACCTTGGTATCTCAGTGCCTGACCTAAATATCTAATCGGTCAGATGTCTCACTGAGGCTGTCTAAGGATGCCATATATGCCCCCTGTGGCATCAAGTCATTCAAAAGATGTTTACTTCACACTCCTGCAAGCCCACCAGCATGCATACTGTAAATCCAGTCATGTTACTAAGCTGCCTGCTAGCGCTGCTACAGTAAAGATTTTCAGAGTTGTTTCTCTAAAGGTTTGTCAGCCTCGCTCATGGAAAAACATCTTCAGGGTCTGTAGCTCAGCCATAAAAATTCTGTTCCAGGCTCTTCATGGCAGGCAAGGCCTCAGCTCAGATGTGAGCCATGTTTTGAAATGAATAGTCTATTTAAACACCTGCACACCTACCCAGTCTGACTCTCCTCAGAACACCAAAATGTATGTGCCGTTCAACAGCATCATGCTAGGTAAGGGAGTGCAGTGTTGCGGATGGAGCAAGGAATGGTAAGTAAAGAAACTGGAGTTTAATCCCAGCTCTGATACTGACTTAGTCTGGACCACAGACAAGTTATTTTACCTTTTCTGTATCCATGGATAGACTGGGACTAGCATGCACTAAACCTCTCTCAGAGCAGAGTGGTTAGGTTCTGTCAACTAACCCCTAGTCCTTCCCTCAGTGCAGAGCACAAACAAACAGTGAAGCTGGGCTGTGGAGTGCTCCTCACAGGAAGAAAGGAAAGAATCCTCCTTCCCACACCTTGGAGTAGCAGGGTGCCCATGCAGTACCTGTGATCCTCTACACCAGGGTCATGGTAAGCAGAGCCATATAATGAAATGCACCGGAACTACTTTTCATGCTCTGCAACACCAAGGCAGTCTGTACTGAGCTGCTCTTTGCAGGCACTTGGGTGGGAGGGTGCACTCCTCTTCTGCAGGCTTCCCAAATACTGCCTTCCCCTGCAGGGCCGGCTCGAGCCATTCCTGCACCCCGGGCAACGGGCAAGCAATGCATGCGCAGCCCTGCCCCCCCAGCGCACCTTACAGCTGCAATTGGGCATGCAGCGCCTGATGGCAGCTCTAAGGGACACCGTGCAGCTGGGTGTGTGGCGCCCCTTACAGCTGCCATCAGGCACCCTCCATAGGTTGGTGCCCCGGGCAGCTGCCCAGCTAGCCCCCACCTTAATCCGGCCCTGCCCCTGCCTAGAACAACTGCATTGGCTCTGGTGAAACCAGGTCCTCTTAGAATTTCTCTTTAAAACTATCATTCCTCATCAATATAACAGTAGTACTTAGAGGCCTCCATCCCTGGTGTGGTGTAAAAACACAGTAAGAAATAGTCCCTGGCTTGACCAGCTTAATCACAACAGACCAAGGGTGAGAGAAAGGAAGTACTATCTCCATTTTACACCTGAAGGGCTAAAGCACAGATAGACTCAGTGACTTGCCCAATGTCAAATAGGAAGCCCCTGGTGAGGTTACCTAGCTCTAGCCCAGCATTTTGAAAGCCTTGGCTAGCTGGTGCTACACCCATATTAAGCAGTGCTGGCTTGAAAACAAGAATCCATTTCACACACAAAAAATTGAACTTGACATTTCTGTTCATACTGATGCAAGACTTTTCATGAAAAGGAGAAGCTCCTAGACTAACCAATAGTCTAGTGTGTTAGGCACCTCTTCTGGGATGTAAGAAAGCTAGGCTCAAATTCCTGTTCTGCCTGATTCAGAGCAAGGACTTGAAGTAGGGTCTCCTAATTCCTTGGTTATTCATAGGCTTGGAAGAATTAGATTCTTATCGGTAAACATCAGTTTCATCATATACACAAACGAAAAGAAATATTTCTTTCAATAGTAATTAAAATTTATACTAGGCAAAGTAAAAAAAAATGCTGCTTGAGAATTTAAGGGATTGATTTAAAGCTATTTAGTTTGTCAACATCTGTCAAAGTAGACAATTTGTGTTTTAACAATTAGAAAGCTTTAACTTGTTGAACCTCAATTTACCATCATGAAACAATTATTATCTGACACACGCACACCCCAGTGTCTTGCAGCTATGAACATTTATATCAATAAAAATGTTTAAAAAGTGCTGAACACCCACACGTTCACACTGCTACGAACATTTAAAGTTTATTTTTAATATTTTGTTTTATTTGTATAAGCATTGATATTATCCATCAAAACTATAAAAAAATTAAAAATACATTTTGCCAAGCCTTGGTATTGGCTAACCTGAGCTGACTAGATGTCTTTCACTGTCTTGAAATTCCATTCTGGACCTGTAAAATCTTGCTGATAAAATAAGAGGTCAGTTTTGACAAATCAGTGTTTTCAGACCAAAAATATCTGGTAAACTTCCTAACCAGCTTCAGTACTAAGGATTTTTACTACCAACATGTGAAGGACAACAATTAACTACAGCTTCAACTACAAGCTGATGTAGCCACAGGTATGTATGATATAATACAAAGGATATTTCCTACTGAGACAGGCACAGGTTTGCATGCATGCTCAGTGTAGTTGGAACCTTCAGCAAGTCTATTATGAACATACATGAGCTGAGACTTTTCAGAACTGTCTCTTGCAACCAACTTTGGGCTGATTTGAATAGGACCAACAATAGGCACATCTCTGTCATGAGAGAGACCTCCCCTCTGCCAAATTTCAAGTTCCTTCCACATTGTGTAGCACAGTGGTCCCCAACCTTTAGAGCCTCCCGGGCGCCCGGGCCACTCACGCGCCGGGC